TATACAATGTATTATATAACTTCACATTTAGTCTCATTCTGGGGTTACTATTCAAGTTCTAGGTGTGAGTGTTTTCAATAAATCGCCTGACAACCACCGTCGTTGATGTTATTTAAACAAGAATTATGATGTTTACACCGCGTACGAGAGTACTAGGCCTACTAAAACTATTGCGCGGCGAACCACTGCTAATGAATATCTGTGCGATGTTCTATTATTCTCTACAACATTTTTAATTCATTATAGACCATTCCCTTTGGAGCACTCATCGTTGATTATTACAGAATACATTTGACGCACACGTTATTTAGGTTGCCAATAGAAATTTACATCAACCGGCTGAGACTCTTTAAAGTGAAAATTGGAAATCAAATGATATAAAACTGAAATCTAGGCCTATACCAGGAAAATCCTTATTACACCAAGTATTTAGGAGAAAAATTGTAGTAACCCTCTATTCCATTATGTTCATAATTCATAATAAAACATTTAAAAACAAACCAAAATTAGTAGTAATGTTGAAAACGCAATAGTCCTACAGTGCTGACGTCATGATTTGCCTGGCGGAAGTGGCCGAGGCGATATCTACGATGGGAGCATAAGTGGGCAGGGCAAGACAAATTTCGGAATCTTCAATAACTTACAAATTTGAAAGGTTTATTAATAGAATTGTTTCACCCTAATTAATCGTAGTTTTGCTCTCCCGACGGGGCCTAGCTCTCCACCACCCCGAGCCACCACAGGCGCTACCCTCACACATCATACGTACCGTATATACTGAAATGAAATGACATTGTCAACTGAAACCTTTGTGCTTATTTGCCTATTTGAAATCAATCGGTTCAGGCTACTTTAACCTGTACACCAGGAATTTATTTTCAAAGTGAATACGTAGTCCTTCCGTAAATTGGTTTACATTATTATAACAGTGAATACAGTAAATAATGCAGACGACAAAAAAAATTGGTTGAATGGCAAGATCATTGTTGGCCAACTGGGAAAGGAGTAATACATCCTATGTTATGATTGCATGCGTCAGTGGATGTGTAGAACTACTGATAGAATATCGGTATGTTACAAAGAAGCATCCTACATAAAGGCTTCTTCTAGAATAGATTATCGATTTGACTTTCAGTCATTATTATCTGTATTATTTCAAGGTTAATCTTAATAAACTGAACGCCACAATCAAACCCTAATTTTGAATCACAAAGGAAAAAAAAAAGAATGTTACCTGTATACAATTTCACTGAACGAGTATGGTAACATGTAAATTCATGGTAAATACACTACACGATTATTTTAGTCCGTGTATAAGAAAAGATACGAATTGACTTGCGTCAACACGATTAAATTTATGTAGATTACTCAAGTACATTAATAATTGAGTCTTGCAAAAAAAAAAAAATCACAATACATCCACATTTAATGTATTCAAGTTATTACAGTGATTGGTTTGTAGGCCTAGTTGATGAATTATATAAAATAAATGGATGTAAATTGTAACATCAGAATGAAGAAATTTAAGTCATTCCAATCGGGATTTAAACTTTGATGTGCTTTCTTAGCCTGCAGAAATTTGTTCTGAAAGGACACTCTTGAGTTTAGTTGACTTAGCGGTTAAGGTGCTTGCCTTCTAATCCCAGGGCCCTGGGTTCAATTCCTGTCACAGCAGGACTTTTTCTTACTCTTAAAACAACTCCACTCCCTCATAAGGAGACTTGGTTTATAAAACATCGTACCATCATGTAAGGGGCGAGTGTACTTGCTGTTGGATGTGAAGAAATAAAAAAGATCAAAATCATACGCCCTCATCTTAAATACTCATACCGTATCTATTATTTTGCATACCTATGTTACAAATTACTTCAACGAACATTAGGTTTTTTTTACCATTATAACCTTCTATTTATTTTTTAGGTGGCATACGGCTTCTGTCTGCTCTACCGTCTCGAAGATGACTATGCAATTGGAGTGGTATTGGGGGCGTCTTGTCCTGGTGGAGGCCTTAGCAACATTGCGTGCGTGCTAATCGACGCAGATGTTGTCCTTAGCATCGTGCTCACTTTCAGCACCACAGTACTGGCTCTTGGTACGTCTGTTTGCATGCCTCTCGAATTTGATCGACGTTATATATTAATTTCAAATATTTGCTGTATATAGAATTACTACTAACTTCGCTTCCATAAATACATTTATTGAATATACTGGTTGATCTGGCAACGAATTGTGTGATCAGTGGTGCATGTTATTCACCTTTAACACAGATTGTCTCTTATTGGAATTTAAAAAAAAAATAGATAGGCTTATTGTGTCTAGATTGAAGTATCGATTTTAACATTTGATAGGCCTACAGCCCCAAATATGCCAGTGTCACGCCCATCTATGTAGGCTTACACCTTTTTACAATAGGCCTATATAAGAGGATTTTTTTGAGTTAGCTTTCTTGTAAGCCGAATTGCGTACGGAAGATGAAAACCGTGTGTTTATTTTATTATTTTGTGTCTATTTAATGGAATAAAATCATTTTTGTCTGATCATTATGTGTCTTCAATTGCAGGGAATGTACCTGGAATATAATGTTAATTTTTAGACATTTTGTATACAATGACTGGTGACACGCGGACAGCCTTTTTTAATGCGGAATCTAATAATATGGCAATGAAACCCAAGTTGGCGTGACACTGGGCTTCACTAAATGTATCTATGACAACGAAGTAAATCAATATTATTTCCGTCTACTGCAATAATAAAACACGTTTATATATTAAATATCTGGTATATATTTCGTTTTCGTGAAAACGTATAGGTCTACTTACATTTGTCATTTCAAATTACGACGGTTTGATATAGATGGGAACTGAACAAAAACGACGAATTAAATACATTTAGGCTTATATTTTTTTATGTTTTAGACTAGAAGAAACCCTACTTCACAGTTTTTCACTGGAAAACGATTAGAGCTAGGGGAGGGGGGAGGGGTGCCGTGAAATGGTATCATGAGTGTCTTAGTATTCTAGTATAGGCACTCTGGTTTCGTGCTAAGATAAATAGCCCTTAAATAATAATAAATGAGGAGAAAGATAGGAAAGAGAAAAAAAGCGGTTAAAATAGTGAATACAATTATTTTAAAATTTAAATTGCAACAACAAAAAAATTATTAAAGGTGAGTATTAATGAAATTAATGTTTTGCCGGTTCCTCTCAAGGTCATAATTATCTATCCACTGACAATTTTTTCGACTTATTCGCGATGTACTTGTAACTTTACACCTTCGTACAGCCGTTACATTATATATCGTTCATCCTGTTGTTGGATCTGAAATTTACACATAAAAAAATGTAGGCCTAGGCCTACTCGTGAAATGCTTGCACCTCCGGAAGAAACGTAGCTTGAACCAGCTTACAGCCCGTCAACAATACAAGTAGCAAGGAAAATATTGCCTCATTGTAATTTTCAATTTAATGATAACTTAAGTAAAGCAACTTATTGAAGTAATGGATTTTATTGCTATTGTGTTTTAGCTAATTCTTCACAGACGTATAGGCCTGTGCAATTAAAAAGTGCTACCGGCATTCATCGTTTCTCTACGTTTCGGTTTCAGTTTATTCACCATAGATAAAGCTACTTTTAAGTGTTTTATTATGATACAGTGCAAATGATAGAACAAAGCTTGACCACAATAACCTGTGTAGAAACACCTACAGTCGACAAAACAGAAGACAAAAAGAGAGGAGTGCGGTGTATTCCCCTCAACTATAATATCGGCATCAATTTTATATGCCAAAAGTGTAGTTAACATTGGGTGGTGGAAGTGAATAACTTAGAATATGTAGTGATGCACTTAGGCCAATTAGCTGCCCTTGCACAATGGCCATCTCTCTACCCATTAGTATGCGTCAGAACGGATCAAACAGTGGGAGGGGGACACATTTCATAAGATAGGCTATGTGGAGAACGCTATAGTTGGAAGTGGCATACCATTTTGTAATTGTATTCTATTTTATCTTCAGGGGCGGATCCAGCTGGGAGCGTGCCCTCCCCCCCCCCTCCGGTCAGTTAAGCCGAAAAATAAAAAATGGGGGTGACAAATTTGATTTAAAGAGAGTTCAGTGACGATATGCAGCAGTGGGCGAAAGAAGAGCTCAATTATTTACCACTTATTGGTGGGGCTGAGATGGGCGTGGCGGCGTGAACCTCATATTGTTCCCGCAGAGACCGAAAGATCTCCTTGATTATTTTCAAATAATCGTGGGAAATTTCCAACTATTATGTAGATCAGTATAAGATGTAAACAAATTTTTTTGCAACGTTAACGATGTATTTTAATTAATTATTATTATTATTATCATTATTATTATTATTATTATTATTATTATTATTATTATCATTATTATTATTATTATTATTTATAATTATTATTATTATTATTTCACTATTATTATTTTATTATTATTACTATTTTTATTATTATTATCTTATTATTACAGTTTTATTATTATTATTATTATTATTATTATTTTTATTATTATTTAATTATTATTACTATTATTATTATTATTATTATTATTATTATTATTATTATTATTATTATTATTATTATTATTATTATTATCATGGAGACCGAAAGATCTCCTTGATTATTTTCAAATAATTGTGGGAAATTTCCGACTATTATGTAGATCAGTATAAGATGTAAACAATTTTTTTTGCAACGTTAACGATGTATCTAATGTACGATTGTGTAATCCAGAGTTATATCCCTCCACAGGTATGATGCCTCTGTGTCTTTGGGTCTACACGTCGCCGTTTACAGACGACGAAACATTTCCTGTACCTATACGCGATATCGCCATCGCACTTGGTGCCCTCATAATTCCATTAGCAATCGGCGTCATAATTCGCAAACAGAGGCCAGAATGGGCTAATAAGATCCTGAAAATCTTGCGGCCATTTTGTATAATTGTTTTCCTTATTTTAGCAGTTTTTGGAACATTATCATCAAGGTATAGTTTATTATTATTTGTGTGTAATTTTAATCCCATTTATTGCTGCGAAGCAGCCAATTCATATTCTTGACAGCAATTTGACCTCTGAAAGGTCATTGTTTGTCAAAAATCAATCGCCTGAGACAACTGAAAAGCGGAGTTTCCTTCTTTCGTTCTGCCGGGTAAAATCAATTACTTTAGG